CCGGCGACGCGTCGATCGCTGGTGCACTACCTGCCCGCGGGCGAGGCGGGTGCCGCGAGCTCGTCGTCGCAGGGCTCAGCGGCTGCGGACGGAGAGGGGCCGCTGCAGCCCAAGAAGCAGAAGCGGCCGGCGACGCGTCGATCGCTGGTGCACTACCTGCGGGGCCGCGAGGTGGGCGCGCGGGGCCCGGCCGGGCTCCCGGCCTTCGAGGGCCAGCTGCGCGGCTACGCCGTGCGGAAGCTGCCCGAGCTGCTGAGCGAGCGCGAGCTGACCCTGGGCACCCTCAACAAGGTGTTCGCGTCGCAATGGCTGAACGCCAGGCAGGTGGTGTGCGGCACCAAGTGCAACACGCTCTTCGTGGTGGACGTGCAGTCGAGTCAGATCACGCGCATCCCGCTGATGCGGGACCGGGGCCCCGGGCTGGCCAGAGCGCAGCCGGGCTGCGGCATCCACGCCATCGAGCTGAACCCCTCCAAGACGCTGCTGGCCACGGGCGGCGAGAACCCCAACAGCCTGGCCATCTACCAGCTGCCCACGCTGGACCCGGTGTGCCTGGGCGACCGCCACGGCCATAAGGACTGGATCTTCGCCATCGCCTGGATGAGTGATACCGTGGTCGTGAGTGGCTCCCGCGACGGCACCGTTGCCCTGTGGCGGTTTGACCCCGACTTGTTCACTGGCAGCATCGCTTGGCACAACGACGTGGGGCTCCCGGTGTATGGCCACATCCGTCCGAGGGACATGGAGACCATCCCCAGAGCCAGCACCAACCCCAGTAACCGCAAGGTGCGGGCCCTGGCCTTCAGTGGCAAGAACCAAGAGCTGGGAGCTGTGTCCCTGGACGGCTACTTCCATCTTTGGAAAGCCAGGAACACCCTGACCAGGCTGCTCTCCGTCAGGCTGCCTTACTGCAGAGAGAATGTGTGCCTGACCTACTGTGAAGAACTATCCCTGTATGCGGTGGGCTCCCAGTCCCACGTGTCTTTCCTGGATCCCCGCCAGCGCCAGCAGAACATCCGGCCCCTGTGCTCCCGAGAGGGTGGCACTGGGGTGAGATCTCTGAGCTTCTACCAGCACATCATTACTGTGGGCACAGGCCATGGCTCCCTGCTCTTCTATGACATCCGTGCACAGAAGTTCCTGGAAGAGAGGGCCTCGGCCAGCCCGGGCTCTCCTCTTGTGCCCACAGGGAGGAAGCTCAAGCTCACCTGTGGCAGGGGCTGGCTCAATCATGATGACCTGTGGGTGAACTACTTCGGTGGCATCGGCGAATTCCCCAATGCGCTCTACACCCACTGCTACAACTGGCCTGAGATGAAGCTGTTTGTGGCTGGAGGGCCTCTCCCTTCAGGCCTCCACGGGCACTATGCAGGACTCTGGAGCTAAGGATGGCCCCATGTTCTCAAAGTGCCCAAGATTTACCTCCCAGATCCCTCTCCCTCACTTCCTCATGCTGTGTTGTGCTTTAAACTCTATGTGGCTTTTGTCTTTCAGGTGGTTGTGAACAACTTACCTGTGTTTAGTTTAGTAGACAGAGACAGAGTGAAATGAAAGAGAGAGAGACAGAAAGAGAGAGAGAGACCTTTTGGGCAAATCAAAACTTGGCTTTAAAGACTTTCTTGCCCCTCCCCCCAACATCACCATCTTTTTGGCCTTTCTCACAAAGAATTTTGGCTAATCCTTGTGTGCTCTCTTTGAGTGATTCCCATATTAGCATATGCTCTTTCCCTGGGCTGATAACAGTCATGGTCCCCACTACAATTCAGTACTTAATTTTACCAGTATTTCAAGAATATGTTCAGGTTTTTTTACACATTTCACGTGTATGGTGTTTTGGGGAAATCTGTGCTAGAAAGTGGTTTTTGGGTTGGCGGTACAGGGCAGGTTTAGAGCCCTGCTCCAGATAGAAAATATTCCAAGATCTAGATCACCACCATTTTGGAGAATGTTTCCTTTGAATGTTAGAAACTCAGTGTTGTTGTTTGTGTACTGTTGGTGCATAAAATACTTTCAAAATATGTTCTGTTAGTTAACAAATCTTATAATGGTGTTCTTTCAATTAATCTCGATTTTGATTACTCAGTAATCAAATTCAGTATCAGTACCACCTTCCCGCCCTCAGCCACTTGGTTAAAGCTGCTATATTATGGCCAGCTTTTTTGGGTTGCACTTACGCTGCAGATTTTCAGAGCTAATCAACACTGGCCTGTGTGTGGCAGGACAATCAGGGAGGTACTTTTTGGGGTAAACATTTCTTTATAGTTCAGGTAACTATCCAGGCAGCCATTCACAGTGAAGGCTGGCTGTTGTGCTCAGTGTAGGCATTGTTGACACTTTTTTATTGTATACATGGATAATTCCTTTATCTGGATTGAGTATGTGATGTATGCAGAAAACAATAAACATGTTGAACATTTTAGCAATTAAGTGCTAGGCTAAAGTTTTTGATGCTTAGATATACACTTTATTTTTTCTTAGTTATCCTGCTAGCAATCAATGTATGAAATCAAAATTCTTCTGGAGAGAAACTGGAGCTGAAACGGCTATGCACACATTACATTGTACAGTTTTTAAAAAGCACACTTAGGCTACTATCATGGATTAAAATGTTAAAACACCATCTTTAATGCCTTATCTAAATATACTTTCTTATACTTTACAACAGTTAGGTGTGTTGTTTTCAAAGTGATTACCAAGCTTTTCACTTATAAAAATGTACATATTGTTCTTAAAACTACCTATTCACATATCTGTATATTTGTGTGTGTGCGTGTGTATGCTACTTGCCATGTGAGGAACGGACTTAGATGTTACCAGTTTACATATGCAGATATTTCTAATACTTTGTACTACATCTATCAACACTTCCTACTTGGTCTTACTTTCTGTTATGTTTATTTTAAACATGACTAAAAAATCATATTTTATAAAAGATGTTCCATGAAAGACTTATACCCCAGAACCGCTAATCTCCTGCCCATGGATTACATGGGGTAGATTTTGTGTGTGTGTCCATTTAGATATATATAGTCTATACATATATATGTATATGTATGTATGCAGTTTTATGCAAATGATAGCATGTGCTGCACATTAGCTGTGCTGGTTTTTATTATAAAATCTTAGAGATTGTTTCTTATACATACCTACCTCATTCATTTTAATTGCATAGTATTCCTCTATTTGGTTAAACATACTTTATTCATTATACCTATGCTGAACATTTATATTGGTTTTTATTTTGTTCCTGTAAGCTATTCTGCAGTGATTATTTTGGTGCATACATCTTTGTGCACATGTGCATATATAGATCTGCAGGATAAGTTCCTAAAATTGGAACGCTGGGTCAATTTTGTATTGAATAACCATTGCCAAATTACCCTCCAAAGCGGCCCTACCAACATAACCTCCTGTAAATAATGTATGCATGCCTGCTTCACCATACTCCTGCCAATATTGTGTCATCAAATTCTGTATCTTTGCCAATCAGATAGTCTTGATCTTGATCCTTTCTTTCTAAGCCCTATGTGGTTGAGTTAATTAGATTTGTGGTCAGAGTACCAAGTAGGTTCTGAAACAAAGATCAAAAATACGAGGAAGTGAGGGCAAGCAATCAAAATACTGTCACACTAAAGGTAGGGAGGGAGCACCTAGGTTTCAGGCCCACATAGCTAGAGATGGTTACACAGAACCTCTTTAGATCCTCAGCTGGACCTCCTAGAGCTCTCTAGTTTATTGCGACCTGGTTCACTTCTATTCAGTGCATTAAATGTCACTGAAAATTCAAGCAGGAGAATCTGAGAGCCTAAATTAGAATATTTGAGGTAAGTGCGCAAAAGGAGGAAATTACTAGAAATGAAGGGCGGGAATAAAATGAACAGTTGTAGATGAGGAGAGAGTGGACTGAGCTGAATGCTTAAGGCTCTGTCTTAAATGTAAATGAATAGTGGCAACACATGAATACACATAATGTAGGCATCAAGGACATGAGGGAAGAGTTCTCAATTCAGTAAGAGACTTAGAATTTGAGGTTCCTTCTTGATATCAGGAGAACATAACCCAGTGAACCATTGGCTGTATATTCCAGAAAGAGATTATCTTACTGCTGAAAAGATGAGTAGTAAATCACACCCTGGGAATCTCCATTTTAAGGGCATGCAGAATCAAAAAGTCTTAGAGGATCCTAAAAAGAAAAGAAGTAGGGGTGGGAGGTATAAAATAGAAAAGGCCTATTTTACCCAAATGACCTCCTAAGCCTCAGGCAGTAAGATAACATTTAATACCAAAATTAGAGTGACTCAGAGTCCTACCTCAAAGACAGGAAGTGTAGCGGCTTTTTTTGTTGCTTTTTTTTTTTTTAATTCCCCCCCCCCCCCCCCGTAGTCTCCCTAAATACCTAGGACCCCTTAGGGTTGCTCGCTTAAGCATTAATTAGGCTTTTTTCATTGGTCAACTGCTCTTTCTTGAACAATGAAGTCAGACCTAGGTCACATGGAGGGCTTCACAGTGATTTACCTGCTGGAATGAAATGCCTCAGCACTCCAAATGTTGCTGGTACCCACGATTCTGTTGGCTTTAGTGATGCCCTGGCATCTCACAATGATGGGGCATTCTCGCCACCAACTGCTACTAGTCCATATTTGAGTTCATGTAGCAAGGCCATAGGTACAGGTCTCTGCCAGTTTCTTTTCAGATCGTCAAAGGACAAAGGAGTTTTTACTAGGGATGCTCCTTCCCTAAGTACCACAATCAAAATCCCATGCACAAAAAACTAGGTGTGAGAAAAACGAAATACTGGCCTAGGTTTATTAGGGGTATAAATGAAAAATCTTAGTGGAAAAAAAGTAAGTTAAAAATAACTAAAATTTGACCCTCCCTGGTGGCACAGTGGGTTAAAGTACTGCACTAAGAAGCTGAAACCACTTCCGCGTGAGTTCGATTCCCACTTGCCCCAGAGGTGACCACATGGCGTGGCAGACCTCTCCTGACCCGCCCGCTGCTCCCCTCAGCAGTGTACTTCGTCGATCTGCCTGTTCTGCTCCCCACTCTGTCTCTGGTGAAGCCTCTTGCCGCCCCTGAGCCTCTGGCCTGTACCCCAGTTCTGTATGCACAAATAAATAAATCTTAAAAAAATAACTAAAATTTTTCAAAGAAGAAATAAAATACCAGAATAGATTATTAACCCTGGAAAATATGAATACTGCTTTAAAAAAAATCTGCCCTTTTCTCTAAGAAAATTGCATACACAAGTATATAATTATGAACACATAATAGGCACACTTGGCCTGATACTCTCATAAATAAATTATTTGACATTGTTAAGGAATATTAACTTTGAGCTACTTCAGAGCATAGAAAGAAAATTTTACTTTTTTATATGTGGTCAGTATAATAATATACCTGACTATAATTGCACATACACAGATAAATACAACTTGCCCTTAAAAAATACCAAACATAATCAATGCTTAACAAAGAGACTACACCATGGCAAAGTAAAAGTAATTCCTTGAACGCAAAGAAAGTTCACTATTGAGAAATCTACAATTGCAATATATCATACGAATAGGTCAAGTAAGAAGAAACATTATCACGTTAATAAATTCCAATAAATAACTGAAACCCTACTATAATTCTAGTAAAATCTTTAGAAAATTATGGGAAATCTGTAGAAAACTATACCATATGAAGAATATGCATATGATATGTGTGTATTGTGTGTGTATGTGTTGTTAGAAAAGCTAGCACACTGTAAAATACTGGAAAGAGAAAACAGTCACAATTATTTCTAGATATGGCTATAAAAATAAAAACATCAAAAACTGAAATGAAAAATTTGTTAGGACCAATGCTATAATTTGGTAAGATGTTCCATTTTGAACACAATATGTAAGAAATCAGTGATATCCTATTTTCACTTATTTACTCATTCAGCAAATATTTCTTGAATCCTTATCATATACTTTGCACTGTTCCAGATGCTTGTTGAAAAAGACAAGCAGGCCATTGGGGAGACAATAAACAGATAAACTGTGTCAGATGGCTACCAATGCTATAAATAAAATAAATCAGGTTAAAGAGAATAGAGGATATGAATTTTGGAGGAGATGCAGTTTTATTGCTTTTATTGACATATAGTTGAGAAACCATTAATTTCAGGTATACAACATAGATTTGATATTTTTATATATTACAAAGTGGGTCATCACAGTCTAATATCTGTGATACAGAATTAAAATTCTTTCTTGTGACAGGAATTGTTAACATCAACTCTATTAGTTATTTTCAAATGTACAGTACAGTATTATTAAATAGTATAAGCGGATATTTCTACTTTTTGAACCCCTTCACCCTTTTCACTCACCCCCAACTTTGGTGAGCAGCAGTATATTCTCTGTATCTTTGATTTTTTTTTTTTTGGTTTATTCCATATATAAGTGAGATTACAAGATATTCTTCTTTCTGTCTCACTTATTTCACTTAGCATAATGCCCTCAATTTAGATCTATATTGTTGTAAATAGTGGGATTTATTATTTTTAATGGATGAATACTCT